AAAAAAAAAAAAACTATGATGTCTTCAAATTTATTTTTATTCAAAAGTAAAAACATTATCTTTCTCAAAACTATATAAACCGTATTATATTAACAAAAACAAAAAATAAAACAAAACATTAAAATGAATACGCATCTCGCTGCATTATACGAGTACCTTCTAATAAATATTAAATAGCCTTTGCTTAGATCTCCTTTCTAGGGTCTTACCTTAGTTGTGTTTTCTTAACATTTTCTTTTTCATCTCTCAAGAAAAAATTATTATTTATAAGCCTAAAAAATATGTAAAATGTTATTTGATTAAATAGAATCGACCAATGATGATAAATTGGATTGTATACACTATAAATATGTTAAAAGGCACATAAATGAACCATCAAATCCATTGCAATTGATCATGGTAACCTAATACTTGCAAAACATTTACATATCTAGCTTTGATTTTTGTGTGGTTAAAAGATGTTATTATTCATCATACAAAACAAATAGCAATTGAGTACATGATATTCTTATATCCCTAAAGCACATACCTTAACAATTGAGTACTAGTTCTATCTTCAACACAACATCTAAGAGTATGAGATCTTATAATTTTTTACACTAAGACAAAAAAAACTAAACGATGGCCTGTGCCACCATATCCAACATAGTGGATCCATTCCTGATTGGTGTAACTGTATAGTATAATAAAATTGTTAAAATTCAAAATGCAAAAAAAAAAAAAAGTTTATAAAATAAATCGATTATGAAATAAAGATAAGAGTGTATGAAACAAACTTTTATAAACAATGGTGTTGAAGAATATCAAAGAGAATGTATGTAAATCTACAACCATTAAAAAGAAAGCAATTATTTTGTGGTCAATAAGTGATCATTCTTATTTACTTATTTGCTACTGAACAAAGTAAAGGCAGGGCAATCGAAGGAAATGCAGTCCTCCGCCTTCTCATTCTCGTCTGCAGTTCCATTCAGAAACTCTGCGACTTGTTCGTTTCGGGTGACGCCAACCACCTTACCCGATTCTTCAACCATGGCTGCTCCCAAATGGGCTCAGAAGACAATAACGCTCCCTCCTCACAACCGTGGCTGTCATCTTATTACTCCCAAGGCACACCACTCTTTTACTTTCTTTTATCCCATTGCCAACATCATCACTCACTGCAATTTGGTTATCGTATTTCTTTTCAGCTGCTTTATTTGGTACCATTCAGGTTTTACTTTTAGTAATCCAAATGTGAAATTGGGACATGCAATTAAGATTTTTGCACTGGATTTGCATTTGCTTTGCTCCATAGAATTAGGGTTCTAAACATACTCCCATAACCATACATGTATTGAGAAGACTCCTTCCCTTGCTAGTCCCCTATAAATGAATGTTATTATATCTTTCTCTGATGGACAAATTATGAAGATTCATCCTTTTAACAGACACTCTTGTCCAATTAGACATACAGACAAAAATATAATATCTCGAAATAGATTGATTGCAAGCAATTGCACAACTTTTTTTTTATTACAACTGCACGCATTGGTTACACAATGAGCGGTTTGTGATCAGTGTCAATTTCAAGATCCAATTTATTATTATATCCCCAACCAAATTGTGATACCTGCAATTACTTGGGACATCCTCCTACCTAGGTCTTCTTTCCTTGCCCTTCAACCATCCCTAGCGAAATAAAGGGACCAGAATCGAAGTGATCGAGACAGGTCATGTATAGTGGAAGAAAATTTTAGTTGGTTACCAACCACCCACAAACTTCTTTTTCAACCATGGATGCCAATTCTGATATGGATCAAGGACTGCTGCCCCCTTAGCAGAACCACATATGTGAAATGTGACTGCTTGGTCCTTTCCTTGTTAATCTCCTCTCAACACTAGTACCTCCTTAGTTGCCTTAGTAAGATTAGATGTTATTATTTGAGCAAATGAAGACTTGTACCCAAGTTAAAGAATGATGCAGGGAAATTCTTATCAACAAGTGTTACTGTGTTACATTTCTGTGCTTCACTTGTTATAAATTAACTCATGTGTTGCACCAGATCTTGAAGGAAATTGGAGAAGATTTGTCAGGATTTAAATGCGGTCTTGCAAATCTTTTTTGTAAGTCAGTTTTTACCCGTTGATTGAATGACTGTAAACTGATCATTGAACATATGAATAATGCATCCTTTAAACCATGTAACAGTGCAGCATACCAGTGCGTCATTGACTATCAATGAAAATTATGACTCAGATGTTCGAGCTGACACTGAGACTTTTCTTAATAGGGTTGTCCCAGAGGTTTGTTATATTTCCTCTTTGGTTTATATGGCAATTTGTATTTTTGAACTACAGCCTGGCGTTGTTCCTAATAGTATGCTTTCAGGGAAGGTCTGCACCATGGAAACATACCCTGGAAGGTTAGTTTTGAACATGCATGTGATCCATTCAAGATGTTTCCTAGTTATATGTGTTGATTTTTCCAATCTGCAGTTAGCGGCTAGCTGAATATGTTACTTCTTTCACATAGTTGATTTATGTTGCTGGGATAAATATCTTGATTTATAACCTTATTACTTGGAAAAAAAGTTGAGTTGCTTCAGCAGATTCTAGCCTTAACTGATGTTGACTTATACCTTTCAATATATGCAGGTCCAGATGATATGCCAGCACACATCAAGTCATCAATGTTTGGCTGTGCTCTCACGTAGGGATATCTCAGTTTGTATTACTTTTTCTTATGCATACATTCAGTGCCACTGACAGTGGTGATTGCAAATGTTTATTGTCAGGATACCAATTACAGATGGACAGCTTAACATGGGAACTTGGCAGGTAAGTAATAATGTCTTTGATTCATAATGTTTGAGATTCTTGAATTTTCCAAGGTAAGCCAGGTTGGTGCACAGATCAATCCAAGCTACCATACTTGTTGCAGTGTATATTTTCTTGTACTTTTGTTTGTTTGTGTGACAACTTGTGAATGTAGCTAAAAGATGTGTGATACAACATTACCCTTCTTTGTTTTCTGTAGAATTCTCAGTCAATGTAAGTTTATAGTAACAAATGGTACTTGCTATATATATACACATATCTTGCAAATGTTTTTAGGCTATTTTAGTTCATATATGCTGCATGGCTGCATGAGATAGTCTAGTACAAAACCTTTGTGCTAGATCGAACAATCAATGCTTGCTCTTGCTGTACCATGCAACCAGATTTACCCTTGAAAAAATATACAAGACCCCACATCATACTTCCATCATCCAACAACTTTTGAAAACGTTTTTTGTTGCAGAACAATACAAAGAAGTGAAGACAGTAATTAATTACATGTTCTAGTTGATTTGTTAATATGATTGCTAACATTTTTAGATATTTCTGAGGACATGACTATGATAGGAGTTGCTAGTGAAGTGGGACTAGAGTAGTAGAATAAGTTTGGTTAGGGAGTGGGATAAGGAAGGTCAGGGAGCTAGTGGATGGGTTCCCAGAGTTGTAGAGATTTGTGCTTTTCCTTATGTTCTCTATGTTTCAATATGCCTTACATTCTTTACGTTTCATTGTGCCTCTTTCTTCTTCTTTTTTTATTTTGCTTACTTTTAACTAGTTTTAGTTCTTATTTTGTTTTCACTCACTATTGCACAAGTCAGGTGTTTTCACGGAAACCGCCATAGAGGTTAGATATGTGTACATCCCACCCTAAACCGTACTTTTGAGTGGGATATATATATATATATATATATATATATATATATATATATATACCGAGTTTGTTTGGTTTGGTATGATAGCGTATTTTAATAATCTTCTACATCTGCATTGAAATTGGGAGGTAACTTGGTGTTAATGGAGATTTTTAAGCTTCTCATGTGGTATGGGATTATTGACGATGTGTTCCATTGGCTCTCTCAAGGGAAAGATTTGTAGGAAGCAATTATGGCATTCAATTAGTTGTGGGTTTTGGCAGAAGATAAAGGTGGAGAGTTGTTTTTCTTGTCAGGGTTGATGACTTACATTGCTTATTGGCAAAATGGGTTTTTTCTATTCTAGTGATCAAAGCTAACTAGACGAATACCAAACTGCACATCAAAGAACTATGAGATTAACATTACTTTCCTAACACATATTGTTGCTTTGAAGAACGCTGATGGACCTTTTTTTTGAGAACTTATGTTGCCGTCTGATTTGTGGGCTTAGGTGTTTATAATTTGTTATGGAACCAAAAAATATCCCTTGGTTAAAGGAGTTACTTTTTTTCTTTGGGGGGGGGGGTTGGTTATTGTTGATAAACTTCTGAATGCATTTTCCGTATGGCTCTGTTGCAGGGCATTTGGCTGTGTGAGCATCGTGATGCACCTACTGCACGTAAGGTTGTAGTCACCTTAAATGGAATATAAGATGCAAGCAATGAGATATATATGGTACGAAGTTTACTTTGAAACCTGTAATCCAGATATATATATACACACATATATATATATACACTGATTGTAGTATATCTAGCATAGCTTTGTTGTTGAAGTTGTTCATTGGTTTGTCACTGATTCCTTGTGAGTGGATATATATATATATATATATATATATATATATATATATATGGTTCCTAAACAATCCCTTGTTTCTGATTGCCTATTAATGGGAGGAAGATGGATGATGTTGTGTTGGATTTTTATTAATGTAAATAATGATAATGACGGATGGGTGTATGAATGGTGCAGATTGTAAAATTTGAAATGATACTGGTTGTCCATTTTCTTGGTCATTAATAAGACCTGAATGGCAATGTGAATGGAGACTTGCATCTAGGACATTCAAGAAAGCAAGTGTTGGATGGTATACATGCATTTATTTATATATATATACTACAAGTTTTTAATCAGTTAATTAAGTTTGGTATAATACCTAGCTACTTCTAGTAGTGTTTTAAGTTTCTGCTTTTAATGCTTTATTTAGTGATCATCAAATAGTTTTTTGATCAGCTAAGGGCAAAAATGAACATATTCAAACATTTATATATAACTTCACTTCTCAAAGAATACGAGTTTTTGATCGAGTATATCAGGTCTTCTACTATATTTTCTGTAAATGCACCACATTCTTTTAACTTGAAAACATACAACTAGCCCAAAGTTTGGATTCTTGTGCGGTTTCTTGTATTGTTCCCTGCTGTAACTCGTCATGATGAGCAAAAAAATTCGATTCATGATTCTGACTTTCTCACGTCTTCAACAGCATGTGTCAACGCTACACCATGCAGGATTTGATTGTCTGCACAAAAGACAAACTAATCTTATCCTCAATTCTACTAGTTGTGTTTTAGGAAAGATCCAGATATTCCTGTTATACTGTAAAATTTGTGTGCTTGGAAAAAACTTACAGTTGACCTTCTGGTTCTTGGAAAACCCGGTCTTTGGAACTCTTTGACAAACCTTTCTGGAACTTAGGGATCTTTCTCACTGTGTCATCTCCATCTTTGTTTGAATTTTCATATATTACATCTTGACTGTACCGCTCAACACTTGCATCGCTCTGTGGGATTGAAGATAAAGACAGCCACCTATGCCTAGACCTGTTGGCTCTCATGATTTGCTTGGAGTCTCCTGCTAGTATTAAATCTCTTCTTTGAGGGTCTTTAGTAGTGAGATGGCATTCTGGAGTTGGGTTTTCAGACACACGTGTCAAGTTTTGGAGTTGAACCGTGTTCAAGTCTCTTCCTTTTGATGAATATCTGTGTGGTCGTTGAGATGTTGAGCAGGATTTTGACTTTGTGAGTCTTAAGCCCTCTGGTAATATAGCAGATGGTTGACCTATAATGAGGGATTCATCGTTCCTGTTGAGGCCAGACTCGGTTGCATTTTGTTGTTGAGAATACAAAGAATGTCTTCCACTCAAGATTGTAGTTGTACCAACGTGTCCCAAGGTTAGAGGTTCCAGACTCATATGGAGAGTAACTGGACAACCGATTGCAACTTCAAGTGCCTTGGCTAAGCTTTCTTCTGAAACTTCTGCTGCCATCTTGTCTTCTGGTCTTCTAAAAGTCAAATGTATAATAGCATTGGCTGTCGGTGATGTTAGAAAACCATGTTAGAAGAAATTTAAAAAAGCTAGCTTTGAAATGCACGAAATACATTGATTAGAAACAGTCTACGATAGGAGATTTGCATTACTCCTAGAGACAGACAATGATGCTAGTTTCACTTGGTCACGGAGGAATTTTTGTGTGTGCGAGCTTTCTATTCCTTCCAATACATCTTTCCATAGTTTTTCCATGTCGCTTAAGCTTGCCCTGCTAGAGTTTTTCATGCCATCCTTTCCTTTGACAGATCTGTGTGGTTCACCTGCAGGAGCTAGATAGTATTACTAGAATGATGTATGTGGATGACTATATATGTGAACCATGAAAAACTTACGTGAATGCAATGTTACTTCACTGAAAGATGATGAATTTGCGCTTCTAGGCAATGTAATGCTTGAGGCTTTCACGGATGTGATATCTAGAAAAGCTGCAATTATATTCCATGTCTGGTCATTTGAGGACTGGAGTTTCCTTTCTGTTTCAACTAGTAACTTGAGGATGTAGCACAATCTTGCTGAGTGAGTTCTGCCTGCACAACGCAAATGAGCATGAATAGTTGTAAATAGAATAAACTAAGATCAGATCAGTCTTACTGAGGAGCTTCTTGTGCGGTGATGATGAATCCAGAGCTGCACCTTCCGAAAGAACATTTGTAATGAGAGTTGCTAGTTGAGATAGAAAGGAAGCTGGTTCAACATACGCACTTAGATTCTTAGCATATCTGATTGTGTTGATGGTGTCTCCTGAGATTGCCACTGCTAGGAAGTCTAGTAGCTTGTTTTGTGGAATGAGACCTACCTGCCAAGAGAATATATAGTATTGAACGAATGATAATGGATCAAAACAATTAATCTTTGATAGAGATTTACTTACTAGGTGTTGGGTGACTGAGGTATTGATGGTTGGCCCCAATAGGGCCAACTGATCCAATATATTCTCGGCATCTCTCAAGGAGCCTTGTGATTTGGCAACTATTAGTTTCATTGCTTGTTTTTGGATCTTCATGCCTTGATGGAGAAGAATTTTTGATAGCTTCTTGGTGACGTCCTCATCCTTGAGCTTTGGGAAGCAAAATTTGTGACATCTTGATAAGATATTATCTGGGATATTGATGGAGTGTGTAGTTATGAGGAGAAATACAAGAGAGGAATTAGCGTCCACTAAAGTCATAAGCTCATTCCATGCCTCTGAAGTTAACAAGTGACATTCCTCAATGATGAGAATTTGAGTAGTGAGGAAGGAGGAGGTGGTTTTGATTTTGTGGAAGGCAGGTGCAATTGTATTTGCAGAGCAGATTGTGGGTGTTGTTTCGATGGAGGTACAGGGTTTGCAAATGCAGCAAGGTTTAGTATGATGAGTTGATTGGCAGTTTAAAGCCATTGCAAAAACTGTAGCAGTGGAAGTCTTCCCTGTGCCATTGGGGCCGTGGAAGAGATAAAGTGGAGCAATCTTTTTGTGGTGGATGGCATTGGAGAGGGTCTTAACTACAATTTTATGACCCACAATATCTTGGAAGAGCCTTGGCTGATACTTGTGACTCATCATCACACCTGCTGCTGCTTTTCTTTCAGAAATAGTAGTAGAGCAGCTGCTGCTGGTGGTGGCTTTGGAATTCAGTGCTCGCTGCTTGTTGATTGATGTTGTACAAAGAACACATGATCTTCTTTGTCTTTGCCAAACAACATGACGAGACTTGATGGTTTGCGTTTTGAGTCTGTTGCCCATGTCTGTCTGGATCTTTTAATATATTTTGTCGTTCCAACTTCCAAGTTATATATACATACATATATAAAGGAAAGAAAAAAGGATTTTCTTTAAGGTATTAATTAATTGTAGATTTAGCCGGCAGGCTCTTGATATGAAGAAAAATTGTTTAATTAAGCAATTAGTATAATATAGTAGTAGGAGCAAAATATGGAGAATGCTCCATATGGAAGGAGGGAGGGAGGGTGGCTTGAAACATGTATATATCTTGTGTATATTAGATTATGATTATATTAATAAATTTAACTACTGCTGGTGTTCCTTCACAATGGCATCTTTCTCTACTTAGACTAGACATAAGATGCCAGCTTCAACTCGATTGTCTTTGATTAACTGACCCATACCCATTCATATACACTTAATTCAATCCATATCATCGTTTTTGTTTCTTTTCTAAAACTGGAAATATTTCACTGTAATTGTATTCATTAGTTGATTTGACCAATAACACACACGAGTAGTTTAACAAGTGCAGATACTTGGTATGATCATATATGGGAAAGACTGCAATTCTTAAGTTTAAAAGGTAAGGTTTTCTGCCATAACCGATACACAAATTTGAGATTTTCCTCGTGTTACCCAAACAGATGTGGATCAAAATATAACTTATGGAAAGCAAGCTCAAGTTTTATCTAGGCTACCCACTCGCTGATTTATGTGACAAAACCCAATTAGTTCTTATCTACATACGTGGAAAAGGAAAGGATGATTATGCAAGGTACAAATGTCACTTATGAAGAAAGTGATCATATGTACGACTCAGAAAATCCTATGGTGATGTCATGGTTGACCAATTCCATGAGTCTAAAAATTGGAAGAAAAGTTTATTCTCTACAAGATTGTTGGTGATTTTAGTGTCAATATCCATCGATTTTGGTGTAACTGTAATTTGCTTGAGATTGATGAGGTGATAAAACAAACAATGTGAGTTAGGAGGTGCGGAATGCAAACTCGCTAATGTAGCATCTATCATCTTATATTCTTATATCATCATAAGGCGGGGTAAAGGAGGCATCACCCCTGGCCAGTGATCCCAGGTTTACTAAAGAATTTTATGTTTTGGGACATTATACACGAATTTTAGAGAGTTGGAAACTTTTTTGTAGTTGTTCCTAAACTTAGTGAAAATTTGCCCAAGTGTTATTCAGAAAATTCCGTGTCGGGTAAGCTCCGACCCGCACGTAAGGCGTAGGTCCCCTAACTGATTCTACCATAGAGGCCAACGATAGACAATAACTTCCCCCMCCCCGCCCCCCCGCCCCCGCCCCGGCCTTTCAGCTTGATCTTAGGCCCCGACTCACCCTGTGTGGACTTTGGAGTAAGAGACTCAAGAGTCTATGATCTTTTTGATCAAAGGTTCTAAGTCTTCACTCTGCCCAAGTCATGTTCCAAATGTCGAGAGCTTTTGAACATTGTGTTTCCTAATAAGACTAATTAGAGCCTCTGGGCTTCTGGCCAGAGCCTCCTATCGTGGTTTCACGTCTTGGTCCGATGCTTCTGACTCAGAGCCTCTGATCCTTATGATCAGAGCTTTTTAGTCTTTTTTCCGCCGAAGTCGTGGTCCAGAATCTCAGGACCTTTTGTCCAGAACTTATGAACATTGTGTTTCCTATTAAGACTGATCAGAGCCTCTGACCATGGTTTCAGCTCTTCTTGGCATAGTGCTTTTGATTTGGAGCCTTTGAGTCAGTTGTAACTAATAGGTAGTTACGTATTAACCACCAAACGTCCATAACCGTCGATCTCTTTTATAAATACATAAAGCAGTTTGATATGGTGAACATAAATATATGAGTTTGTGCCTTAATTTGTATATAAAAATTCTAGATTATGCCGGTACTAATTTCGTGTTAACCTAAAGAAATCTAAGGGCAAAATATAGCATTTGGAAGTCATTCCAAATTCATGTTTTTTAATTGTCTATTGTTGGGTTTCATGCTCTTTTTCAATCACTTGATGATTTGGTTTTCTTTCCAAGTTGATGTCTTCAAACTTGTAATGGTGTTTGGAGATCAATAACAGGTAGGATGTGAAATTGTTGTACAGATAAATATGTGCAATCAAACTTAACAATGAAGTGATTTCTAAGGTCCCAAATACTTGTAGAAATCCAAATGCACAATAAACCCAAACAACAATGCGGATAACAATAATCTATATGTCGCACAACATGCCCATATGAAGAGCAAACACCCAATACAAAAACGACAACCACAAATATTCTAGGATCTAAGCATATGACAACATCACAAACAACAACACAAGGATTTAATGTGGTTCCATTACCGGTGTAATAGTGTACATCCACCAAAGAAGATAGAGCAAGAATTATATTACCACAATGGAGATTATAAAAGGCTTGTACAATGATCCTTGAATCCAAGATCAACCAAAAGCTTCAAATATCGAGACCACCAAAAACACCAACTTCTACGCATATACCAAAAATGGTAAACAAGCTCTTGAGAGAAGAAGTAGAAGGAGAGGTCTTTGAGTGTTTAGGAAGCTAAGCAAAGATAGAGAGGACAAAAACTTCTATTATAGTAACAGAGGGTAGGAAAATGGTAAGGCAAAAAGGGATGGGAAGAGAGATGATCCTCCCTCCCAATTGTCGCCCGCCAAAAAAATTCTCGTGTTAGTTTCATCGCTAGTTAAACTAGCAGTAGTCACCGGACAAAAAAGAAGTCTCGTGCTAGTTTTACCGCTAGTTAAAGTAGCGGTAGTCTCTGGACTTGTTTGTTGTGCAACATCAAATGTGATTAAATATCACAACAATTGTAGTATTGTGGAGTGTGTCGTGACTTTTTTTTTTATTAACCTGGATATCCAACCTGCTATGCGAGCCGACTAATCTCAGGGCGACCACTTGCTTTATAGATAGCCCGGAGTCACCGCATTTGAACCTCCGTGGCCACAAGGGGATTTTTATTCCCCCTTGGATTTGAACCTGAGACCTCCTGGTATTTTTGACCATTAGAGCCAAGCTCAAACCAATCAGGCACCACCCTTGTGGTTAGTGTGTCATGACTTTGTTGATAAGATTGGTGGAGGCAATTGGAGTTTGATAGAATGATGCAATACGGACAATTTAATCCATACAAATCCAATTTTGGTTTGTAGGAGTGGAAAGGATTTAGGGGATTTGAAATTCAAATCTATTCGAATCTCGTGTTTGGTTTGCAAAATTGCTCGGATTTGAAATCTTAGGATGATTTGTATATAATAATTTTCTAAACTAAGTAAAAAACTTTTGTTTTCCAATTAGCAATTAATAGTAAGGTAATTTAATTATTTTTATAGTTATTTGTAATTTGTTTTTACAAATTATTTATAAAGTATGGAATTCAATTCCATTCAAAATCCTAAAAATCAAACACACCAAACATTCCAAATCCTTTCATGAGATTTAAATCCCTCCAAACCATTCCATCAAACCAAATGCTCCCTAAGGATTTATTACCTAGAAAGCTTTCAGTATTAATGGGTGATGGCCATGATGAAGCTGGTCAGAACCAAAATGAATTTATCGACGAGAGGTGCTTTTTATGGTATTAAGGATTTGTACATCGAGGAGGACTGTTGTACTTTGATGCCGCACAATTCCCTTCACCAGTCGCCTTACACATGCGAGATACCAGAGTTTGCAAGCTGGAGCTCGCATCGTTTGATCGCGGCCTAGTGGCATACATTGGTAACTATTTTGGATGTCTTCATTAAGTATCTAGCTAGCTAGGAATACCAACATGCATTGTTGAAAAGAGATCAATATTGTTTAGAGGTAGAGTGATACTGATAAATGCTATGTACATGACATTTATTCAAATAAGGTTTGCAAATAATGTATTCATCATAAGCCTTATAATAGTGATGAAAAGCAAGCAAGCTGTGAATACAAGGATCAATTACTAATTAATATGTATAAATGTGGAATTAATTCCATTCAACTATCTTAATTATACCCATAAATAAATGAAGGGATGATGGAATGATAAACTGTATACAATGACTTATATTGCCAAACAAAAAGGATTTATAAAGTTGCGTCCAAAACTAACACAGATGTCAATCAATCTCCTAACCTCATAATAATCCTTGCATGATGGGAATGTCTGCAACATAAATAAACGATATAATCTCAGCTATTTAGATTCTCCAAGTTCATAATCCTTGATGGGAATGTTCTCCAATCCTTCCTTGAGTAAATTTAGTTCCTCTTCAGTTAAGCTGTGTTTAGTATGAGTTGTAACCTTGGAAGAGGCCTTTTCAGCCTCCACTGCCCAGCTATAAATTATCATCCCTGCAATTGCAACCAGCATCCCCAATATGTTCTTCAATGTCAGCTGTGAATCGAACAACACCCACCCCAACGTCAGCACACATACAGTTTTCATATGACCTAAAACTTGGAATGAAACTGCTGAGAAACGTCCAATGCACAGGTACTGGCTAATGTTGCAGAAAACTGCCAACGAGCATGAAAGGAGTATGAACACCTGCAACCAACCAATTCCATTAACTATTATTTTGATTTTCCATCTCTAGTAAAAGAAAATGATTTTGCATTTATCACAGAGGGAATAGGAGCTTACAATTGCACCAGAAGTTATGCTTTTAATGTAATCTGATATAAGGTTTCCACTAAGATAATAGTCGATGAAAGGACCCAATACCAGCAGTGAGATGGCCTGAATAGGAGCTGTCTTACTCAACAACTCAAAAGCTCCAACCGAGTACTTTTTCTGCAAAGACCCTATTGACTGCACCACAGAAATTAAGAAATAGTTCTATTATTATTATTATTATTATTATTATTATTATTATTATTATTATTATTATTATTCAAAATTGATATTAGATTTCTTTAGCAACATGTTCATGGTAGATTAGCACATGAAGAAGTGAAGAAACTACTAGCATGCCATGTCACTCTATCAAGTTTCCTAATATGCATACATCTTTCTTCAACACACCTTTGAGTTGCTGCAAAATATGAAGTATATCATCTCAATGGCCAGCTTAGGGAGTAGAATAAGCTTACAAACCACATCCAAAATATGAGTGAGAACAAGTAAAAATCAGGTAACTGAGATTCCTGGCAAATCTCACTTACTACTTGTACTTGGGATCATTGATAGGCTTCCATCTTTGTCCCATAACCTTCTGCAATGGACTAAAAAGAAGGTGAAAGGACTAACCCCCAAGTGTCATTAGCAGTCATTTCCTCAACCATCTCTTGACACCATCCAGGATCAAGTAATGCATTATTAATATTGGATGGAACAATCACAGTGGAAAGACAGGCATGATAAGGTGATAACTAATGAAATTAATATAAATGGGACAAGGGTTGCAAGAGGATTGCACACCTTTAAGAATGGCAATGGGGTATTGACTGTTTGGAGGACCGCTTGACAAGAGGAGTCAGGTGCAAGAGACGTATCACAGGGAACTACAATATTGTTATCGATACAAGGGAGATTATCTGTACGAGGATACGAAGATGGTGGTGAAGGGTAGACTCTGGAACCATAAAAGAGTTGGAATGCATAATGAAAGGGGGATAGATAAACTATTGGAAGGACCTTAGTGACCCATTATTATCAAAAGAAGACGAGAAGAAATAGGCGACGACTCAAAGAAAATGTAAAATCTTCATGTATGAAACATGGTGGGTACTAAGATAATAGCATTTGTAACCTTTTTGGAGGTGTGCATAGCCTAAGAAGATGCACTTTGTAGATTTGGCAGACAATACAAGGCATAGACAAAACACGTAACCAAAGACAAGTGGGGGAATAGAGTATCGTGGTTGTCAAACAACCAACTTTTGTAAAAAATTCTCACCCACTAAAATTTGGAAGTCTTCCTCACCCACTCACCGACCATCTTCCTTAGCCCCATCATTTACCAACCAGAACAAAAGCAGATTGCATAAGCAACAACAAGATGAAGATAACAGATGCATTAATAATTCAGATGCAGGCAACACTAAAGATAAAGATGCAAGAAGATGACGATGCGAACATAGCAGCAACAAACTATTTCTTGTATGAAACTATTCATATTGGAAATAGTTTAATATGAGAACTCAAAAGTTCATGTATGAACCTGTGTTGATATTAGGTTTTCATGTATGAAACAATTTAATAAACGATTTGGTTTCAGAAGAGAAACAAAAAGGTCCTTGATTTTTTTATCGTGTTGACATTAGAAGTTCACTGATCACTAGCGCTGTATTTAAGGTAACATACAATCTACATTATTCTCTCAATATCTTGCTATAATGAGGATGCTATATTGGAAGATTTTACACATGATTGAGGGGAAGAGGAAAGCACTTTGACAAAAGGAAAAGTTGCTGTTGTCCTTACGACATAAAGGATCTTAGGTATTAAAGGAGTCATCAAAACCATCAATAATAGCGAAAGGGTTAACCTGACACTATTTATGGTAATACAAGCAATATTCAAGGAGACCAGTAAACAAAAAGGCAATGAATTTAAAAAGGATTGAATTGATACATTAGTTAACCGCTTAGTTGTATGATCTACATGCGAGGCTTTTTAATACTTCAGCAACAAGGAACAAGTGGATGTAAAAACTATGGGTGCTACCTTATCAAGTCATCACCGGTTAAAGTTTCCTTGTCCAGTTTCAGAACTACGAAAGTTCTGCACATATAAATGAATTAAAAGGAGTATGCTAAAATGCATGTACTTACAATTTGTTGCAATGATGTCGCCAAAACTGCTACACAAGCACATAAAAAACCTTTGGCATTAATTTTGACATCAGTCACTGTACAAACACCGACGCCTATGACCACAACCACAACAGACCATTTAACTTCTTTTGAGTAATGCTTATTATGAAGGATCCATTCCATGACACAAACGACCGGGATCATGCTGAGTTTGGATATCTGCAACATAGAAAACAATATGTCATTAGCTACAATAGAAGCGAGACTCCTTTGAATTTTTCTTTTTGTCTATAAACATATAGCATCAAGTGCAAAATATGAACTATTACACTCCACTGGAATGTCCAACTAAATTTTTCACCTCTTCTCATTCACTTCATCATATATAAGAAATGTTGCTGGAATGTGAAACAAATTTTACAAGTGTTTCAAAATTGTTTTCACCCCTTCTATTTTAAGTTCAACGTCTCTTAAAACTTAAAAGTGTCATAGGTGCTGTAAATTGAACAGGTGTTCACACTGATTTTGAGTGGCTGTCATTTTTCTGTTTTACATTTCAAATCTGAGTTTGATTATACAACCAATCAGCCAGCACAGCAGCTTCGTCAAAGGAGGATCTTCCTACAATGAGGTCCCATTTTGTTCATCCCTTTGCATGTAGGGGAAATTCTCTTTTCCAGAGGGATATCCATCAGGTTTGACTAAAAAGATCATGTTGGGATAAACAACCATCTCGTTGCCATCCAGAATGTAGTTTAGAAACACAAAGAATCTCGATTTTGATGTTCTCATTTAAAACAGGCATTGGGCTTTTTGAGTTAACCATACAAACAATCCCCACCATCTTTGTATTAGAAGTTCGAGAAACCATTTTAACACAATTGAAGAGAATTCAATCCAGGTTTTTATTAAACGTCTCACTGATCATCTCTCACACCAAGTCTCTTGCACTCAACTGTACCGCCCAGCCACTTCTCACCTACGTTCCAGCCATCGCATCCAAGTTAAGAATCTAGATCTTTAATCTCTCCTAATGTTTTTAATCTGTATATCCATCCTCTGTATTACTATCCTCTGTTGTCAAATGTGTCAGTCATCTGCTGTTTCAATCCATCATCCATACCTGTCATGTGTGCATCTCTCTCTCTCTCTCTCTCTCTCTCTCTGTATATATCTATATTATATATTTCAGTCACACGCCTGGGTAGTTGTCCTCATTTTATGTTTTCTCTCACCCAAAATTCCTCAAACTTGAGGTGTTTGGATGTGCATTTTCAAAGTGATTATTTCAACTTAAAGATCATAATCATATAATGGCAAGAGAAGAGAACTCCCATAAAGAGAATGACATGTGTCCTGTGTTACACTGAACTAAATAGCTTGCTAACTGTCATAAATCATAGCTTTTGTCACCTCCTATCTAATTCCTTCATGATGCAACAGCGAACTCTGATTTAAAGCAATCAATTATGTTACAAGCGCCAATGAGTGATTGTACTTATTCATTAGAGAAAAGCACTCAAAATAGATACCAAATTGTTCAGAAACATATACTTCTAAACTATTAACCAGACTTGACATCTGACCAAATCAATTGATATTTACTTCATGAAGTTTTCCCTCTATTGGAGCCTCCATCGAGACAAACTCGTCTAAGCAATTGGTTCCTATCTAACTATCCCAGTCAATGATATTTCTGATTTCTCTTATCTCTAGCATCAACACAGTATTGAACACCGAAAGGAAAACATAACAATGATGCAAAGCACAATGTTCATTTCTCAATAAATGGAAAGCTAATTATGACAGTTAACCATCCAATTGATTGAAGAAAACTTGGTATGGAATGTGAAAAAGGTCAAGGGTGTAGGCCGCATGATACTAAACAGGGTGTGCAATCACATGAGAAGAACAAATGCAAATAATTCATACTAACAAATCTATAGTCACCACATAGCTCTGTTTGACAAAACTAACCCAAAAGCTAGCTTGTTATCTAGCTAGGAGCTGAAGACGTAACTGAAAAGTTAGTTGGAAGATGGAAAATGTTTAGATGTTTATGTAACATTTGCTAAAAAAAGATTTGGAGTAACTGACAAATGGACGTAAAAAGACATTTATTGTAGTAGATGTATAAAGCGGAATTTATTTTAATTAAATACAGTTACAAAATTAAAAAATACATGTAACTATCACTGTACCAAGAAAGATAAGCAGTAGCTGCTCCAAAAAATAGCAAAATGGAATGGATCAGATAGGTAGTGGTTACCCCAAGGGGTGCCAAGTTGGCAAAACAACTTGGTGCTTTCACTGTAGAGTGGACCAGGGTTCGAGCCTCTTGGTAGAGTATCCCCGGTTCGAAATATATGTTGTGGTGGACTCGGATCCATGGACTAGTCCAACATCATGTTACCACATAAAAGAGATACATAGAATCAAGCGTAGTGATAATCAAGGACATAGCTTAGAAGAACATTGTAACTTGAATATAAAATATATGGACGAATACATACTTGGTAGAATCCAACAGAATTTAGCATAAGGCTGAAATTCATTGCTGCAATTGACATATTTGCAACAATTGAGAACCATAGAAGTTCCCACAAAGGAACATGCATCGATGCAGTGTATCCCGTTGAATTTGACACAAACCCAACCAGTGCGGTTACAGCAAAGTGGAATCCTGTTAAAGTTGTAGCTGGAGAAACCAAAACACAGCACTGAACCCGGTTAATAGCATCTTGGATAAACAAAACTCACTTTCATGAAGTATAGAGTTCAGAAACAAGAAATGGAAATAATGGAAAATATCAATATTCGCATTCTCATTCTTACATTTTAAAACTAGACAGTAACAGATTTGGGATTTCCTATGTATTGGTTATTGACAGAATTCATACAAAATATATACAACTATACAAGAGGCTAAGCTATAATAAAAGGAAACTATCGTATGAAATCCCTGATTTTATGGGATCATACACGATCCCCTATTGAATACATAATCATTTCCATTTTCCCACAGGCGAGTGGAATTTCCCATTCCGAGCTTGGATGTAATCTTCTCAAACATTGGTCTACTTAGCCCTTTAATGCAAATGTCTGCAAGTTGCACATGAGTTGGCACAAATGGGGTGCATATTAGGTCACTGTCTAGCTTCTCCTTGATGAAATGTCTGTCAACTTCGATATGCTTTGTCCGATAGGCTGAACAGGGTTGTGAGCGATGTTTATTGCTGACTTATTGACGCAATGGAGCTTCATTGGCCCTTCTCAGTTAAATTTCAAATCTTTTAGGATGATTTTCAGCCATAATAGTTCACATATACCGTGTGCCATTGCTTGGAATTCTGCTTGGACCGCGCTACAACACTTTGTTTCTTGCTTCTCCAGGTGACAAGGTTTCCTCCAAGGAAGGTGCAGTACCCTATTGTTGTTCTACAATCAATTGGTGATGCAACATAGCTTGCATTAGTATAAGCTTCAAGGGTCACACTGCTGTTTCTTTCGAATAAAATTCCTTTTCTTGGTGTTCCTTTGAGGTATTGTAAAATCCGTGTGCAACTCGCAAGTGAGACTCCTTTGGATTATGCAAGAACTGACTGATCACGTTTACAACATATGCTATATCTGGTCTGGTCGCCCAACGAGACGCTATCACGCATTCACGCTGATACATTTCTCTGTTCACCATGCCATCTTCTTTTGCGTTTTCCAATTTATGGTTTAGGTCTATAGGAGTACTTGCTGGTTTGCATGCCCCTTGTCCTGTTTCTATGAGCAAATCAGTAATATACTTCTGTTGAGATATAGAAGTCCCCTTTCTGGAATGAGCAACTTTAATTCCAAGGAAATACTTCAGTTTTCCCAACATCTTGATCTCAAATTCTTTGGCTAGACATTGACTCTAGGATCGTTGCTACTTTTCGTCATTACCAGTCACAATGATATCGTCCACATACACTAGAAGGACCGTTATTCTCCCGGACTTTGAGTGTTTGATAAACAAAGTGTGGTCCCCTTGACTTTAATTGTATCCTAGGGACACTATAGTTTTGGAGAATCTCCCAAACCATGCCCGAGGAGATTTTTTAAAACCATATAAAGCCTTCTTTAATTTACACACCGTATTGGTACCCATCCTTCTTTCATAACCACGCAGGACTTCCATGTAAATCTCCTCCTCAAGTTCTCCATGAAGAAATGTGTTTTTACATCAAATTGATGTAATTCCCAACCAAGGTTAGCAGCTAGGGACAGAATTACTCTAACTGTATTCATCTTTGCAACCGGCGCAAATGTTTCCAAGTAATTGGTGCCAAAATTTTATGTATATCCCTTGGCTACCAACCTTGCTTTATACCTCTCGATCGACCCATCACCCTATACTTCACGGTATAGACCCATTTGCGTCCTACCGGCCTTTTCTCCCTTCTGGCAATTTTACTCAATCCCAAGTTTTGTTCTTTTCGAGTGCCTGCATTTCAACATTCATGGCTTGCATCCATTTTTCATCGGATAATGCCTCAGATAGGGTAGTGCGGATGGTGACGAAGTTAAGGTTAACAAGGAAGGCTTTGTAGGTAGAGAGAATTTTTGGAAGGATAGGTAGTGTGACAATGGGTATAATAGTCTCTTTGTGCATTCTCTCGTTCCCTTTCTGAAGGCAGCCGAGAGATCTTGGTCAACTATAAGAAATTCAATTTCATTTTGTGATTGAGAGTCATAAATTTTTACCTCATTTGAAGGACCCATGTTGGATTCTTGAACTTGCTCAGATTCACGAATGTTCCTTTTTTGTCCTGGGTACACCAAGTTCTTTCTGAACCGTATGCTTTCAAGTCCGGGATGTGTGTATGAGGGGTAGGTTCAGGGACTCGGTTGGATGTTACTAGTTCTAGAACTTGTAAACTGTGAGTATGATCAGACTTGAAAGTAAGATCAGAATTGTGAGTAGGATCAGAAACATGGGTGACCGGTTCTAGAATACGAGTATAATTAGGGACCCGTTATGGAATATGAGTAGACAAATCATACAATTCAAGAAGAAAGTGCTCTAAGCTTCCCTCATCTTCCTTACGATTCTCCCCTTGAAGATAAGGTTGGGTGACATAGGCATCTTTTTCACTAAATATCACATCTCTTGACACAAAAAACTTCTTGATGGAGGATGGTAACGTTTATATCCTTTCTGGGTTGAGGAGTATCCCATAAAGACACACTTTAGATCCCGAGGGTCATGTTTGACTCTTTCTTGGCTATCGATATAAATGAATGAGACACACCCAAAGATACGAGGCACAAGGTTGTTGGAGATAGATATGTTAGGTAAAAAGAGAAGAGCACCCCCATTGGGCTTTTAGTTCTAGAACTCGTGTAGGAAGTCTATTGATCAGGTAAGTGGTCGTGAGAACGGCTTCCCCTCAGAAATGTTTTGGCGCATTTCTTTGAAATAATAACGCTCTGGTTTAGTGTAATAGAGCCCATTTTTTTTTCTTTCTGCAACCCCGTTTTGTTGAGGTTTTTAACACATGAAGACTCATGTATTATTCCCTCCTTTTGACAGTAGGAAGTGAGGGTTTGATTGAAATAATCTCAAGCATCATCAGATCTTAACCTTTTAATATTCACCCCAAATTAGTTTTTTATCATCAAAAGGAAGTTGGGGAGAACAGAGCTGACATCAGATTTATACTTGAGTAAGAATACCCAAGTAATCCGTGTAAAATCGTCAATGAACGTTACAAACCAGCATGCACCAGAAATATTATAAGCATTAGATGGACCCCAAATATTAGTATGAATAAGATAAAAGGGAGAAATGCTTCTTTCATTATTAACTGGGAAAGGGATCCGCTTATGTTTAGCAAGCTCACATACCTCACAATGAAGGTTTTCAACATCATTCTTTGAAAATAACGAAGGAAATAAGAATTTTAATGGTCCAAAACGAGGGATGACCTAAACGACAATGATGAAGTAGGATTTTTTCTTTATTGGATAGAGTGGATTCTGATATGAGAGAGTGGGACAATCAGGTTTTGGCCGGCATCTCAAGATAATAAAGGCCATCCTTTTCCTTAGCAAGTCCAATCATCCTCTCCGAATCCTTTTCCTGAAATTCACAATATTCGTCATGAAATACCACCTTACAATGCAAATCTTGTAGGAGTTTTTGTATAGAGACCAGGTTAGTGGTCAATTTTGGAACATGGAAAACATTTTTTAAGGTTATGGATGGGCTGATTTTCTCCTCTACCAGCTACGGTTGTTAGAGATCCATCTCCTGTGTTTCTTGTTACAGGGACATGGTGAGTATGTGGAAGAATATTTGGAAGAGTGGGTCATGTGGTTGGTGGCTCCCAAATCCATGATCCAAGAGTATTTTAAGGGTAAATCTGAGACATTAAATCCAAATAAAGAACAGTGCTTACCTGAATAGGCTTATGAACAAATACCTGTCGGGAATTGGGAGCCAGAAAGCTTTTCCAGAGTGCTGAAAAATGATCTTAGTTTCTCCACTTCTTCCTGGTTAAGGCTAGCTGTCTCTTGTTTGCCTTCTTCTTGTTTTGGATAAACAGCAACATGAGCTTGTCCTTTGTCCCGTATTGATGCACCTTTCTTCCCCTACTCGTGGCTTGGAGGCTTGCCATGTATCTTCCAGCAATTTTCCTTAGTGTGACGTGACTTTTTGCAATAAGTACACCATAGTCCATCTCGTTTCTGGGCCTGGGCTGGTCATTCTTTCCAGATCCAGATTCGTAAGTAGTTCTCCTTTATTCTCCCTGCTCCGTTCTTGACATTTTCTGCCACCATAGCCGAGCCAATAGCCGGAAGGGACTCAAACATTAAGGTCCTTCTACTCTCCTCGCTCCTCATAACAGCCACCACTTCATTAAAGCATGGAACTTCCAGTTTTCCAAGGATTTGGATCCTTACTTGATCAAACTCAGAGTTCAATCCTACTAGAAAATCATACACCCTGTCTTGTCCAATGGAGTCCTTGAGTATTGCAAAATCTTCAGGGCATTTGGTTTTAATTACCCTATAATTATCGAGCTCCTGCCATAGAGATTTTGGTTGATTGGCATCCTCGGTTACGGTTTTGCTTCCTTGTTTTGCTGCCATAGTCTTCACTTTCACCTCGTATACCTGGGCTGCATCTTTTGCTTTGGAATAAGTTTCTTGAACAACATTCCAATTTCCAGATATCTTTGGCGTTAGCCATGAACATCCTTGTGTCACTTATTTTAGGAACCATATAACTCCATAACCGTGCCATGATAAAAGAAACTTCTCCGTCCCAAGTTTTAAACAAGGGATCTTCTGGTTTTGGTCTGGTCCTAGTAAGATGAGTGATTTCTCCCTTCCCTTTCAGGATGGTTCGAACTAGTTGGGACCACTTGAGATAGTTCTTGCCATCCAACCTGTATTACGCTGCCTAGATGTGTTGTAATTCTCCCAGCTGTTGAACGTGAGTGGGTTGAGACTGAGAGGCGGGTCTGCCTTGGTCTATGTCATTTTTTGGCTGTTGATCGAGAGGTGTAGGTTTGAGAGGCTTATGAATTTCTGGCGATAAAGGCCAGAAAAACAGCTCTAAGAGAAACGGGCGATGAAGGCCAGRAAACAGAAATACACAGGCAATGAAGGCTGAAGGGATTCCCAAGTTCCGGTAGCTCTGATACAAAAACAGATTTGGGATTTCCAATGTATTGATTATTGACAGAAATCATACAAATTATATACAAGAGGCTAAGCTATAGTGAAAGGAAACTATCTTATGAAATCCCTGATTTTATGGGATCATACACGATCCCCTATTGAATAGATAATCATTTCCATTTTCCCACAGATAGCTGTAGAAAGATGTGAAATTCAAGGCATTATGAGCCCCTCTGATTACATCATTGTGTTGTGTCCAACTTTTTGTTTGAAGTTATTAAGAACAGCTTGATAGATCAACTAATTATTAAAAGAACTCATAAGACATACAGGCATGTGGTCGTTGCTCCTATGAGGACATCTATTTTCATAAAAGCTTCATGGTAATTTCTGCCTAATGTACATCCTATTTTTATATAAGAAAACATTTGATATAATGGCTGGGACCTTTGAGATGTAAGTCCTCCCTGGATTCCTGACTGGACAAGACGCAACAGTTCACAGATGCACCATTTACATGCCTAATGCCAGTCACTGCATACTCTTGTATGGGTCTACAAACCTCTTAACGGGACTTCATCCCCTTCATTCTGAAACTAATTTAAGTTATTTACACAGAGACATATACACCAATATCCTCCTATGAATTATTATTGTAAGAACACTGAACCTTGAACAATGAGTCATCGTTTGGAAGCAAATCATGTCTCACCCATATAATTGAAGCTAGTTCTTTAAAAATTCAATGCAATCTAGAGGCTTCCTATTGTATATTGTACTCTTCTCTCCTTCCTTGATAAAAATTCTTCAATCTAGACTATATATGTTTCCAGACTTACTTGACGTAAATGAAATGGGAACAGTTGCATCACATACAAGAACTTTGTTATATAGGCCGACAGAATAGTGAAGAGAGGTTTAGAATCAATGTGCTCTTTTCACACAGCATTAATAAACTTTCATCAAGCAAATAAACATAATGAAAGATATCAACAGATAGAAGTCATTTGCCAGTCAAACTGCCATCAAACTGGTCTAAGAAAGCTACCTCTAAATCCTGATTGATGAAAAAGTTCTAGAAGTTCAGGCATTACTCCCATTATAAGAAATCAAATAAGCCAAACTAGAAAGGCAAACTCTTCAAACTCTCGTTACATCTTTTATCACTAGCAAAATCAAATAAAATGCCATCCAAGGTCCACATTTTAAACCCATAGTGATCTCAGGGAAACTCCATCAAGCCCAGTTTCAATTATTGATTGCTGCAAAATGAATTCCAAGAAAAACAGATAAATATTGGGAGTGCAACTCAGTTCTTGCTTGCGCAATCTCACTTGAAGAACTAAGGTTTCATGCAGAGATTCAAAAAGAGAGCATGATTCTAATTAGTAGTTCTTTTGTTCATAAATCTATACTATGTGGGATAACTTTTTTTCAATACAGATATGTGACTATTGTTCCAGAAAAAAGAAAGCTGAAATTGTATTGTACATCCAAATAGTCCAGATACCAACTTAACCACTATATAACTTGTAGATTTAGGAAATCTTCACTAGAGCAGGGTAAACAACTATGATTGTGATTTTAAAAGACATTCCTAGTGTGGACAATAAGTTTTTCCTAACAAAGAAGCACAAAACATAACCTAGGTGGACCCGAATTTATATGTATATTTATATATTAAAATGGTAGGTTTAGAAAAATTGATAGTACAAAGTAAGTAATGCGGCAGATAGAGAAGCAAAAACCTATACCAAACTAAATATTTGAATTCGTGGAAATCAATGAGATCACGAGAACCCACTATTCAAACCCACTCAAGATTGGTATGCATAGCAGTCTCTACAAAAGGGAAACAATGAGAGGGCTAAATTCCAGATCTACACGAGCAACCAATACAATTGAGGATTTGACGTAGATGAGATCGGTGACTAACCAAAGGTGAAAGCATAACCATTGGCGGACATGAGTTGCTTATTGGCCATAATGATTCCAACAGAACTTATAATATTCATAGCCCAAGCACCAACATCCGATACTGGGGAAGATGATTTCTTGTCTCTCTCCATTTCACTCTCTTACTCACTCGATGTCACTGAGGTGTTAAGTAATGAATGATGGACACAATAACCAAACAGATTTTGAATCGCAATTAATCTGATCTGGGAGATGCCACTGCCGACTCAGACTGGAATCTAAAATTGAAGGAGAAAAGGCGAGTAATAAGACGACGATTATATTGACGAAGAAAATTTGTAGGAAGATTCTGAACCCAATACAAAATAAAAACTAGTTCAATAAAGAAAACAAAAATGTGGTTGTTTATTATATATATTACTAGTAATAGAATTGAAGAAACGGGGATTTGGGATTTATTGATCTCCGAACTCCGATGATGGCAGGACAGGAGAGATGGAAAGCTTGAAGACGACTGCATGCCATCGTTTATTTTGAGTAATTTGCATAATTTGTCCCTCAACTATTCATCTGTTTGCAATTGTAGTTCAATAATTATATTTCATTCACTCTTGGTCCAGTTCAAACCAATCAAGTAAAAATGGGCACAACATATATATATACACACTATTCTTCTGATCATTGAGATACATGCTAATGTTTAATAAGTTTTCAATAATGATTTATGTTCATGTTAATAACATTTTAAACAAGTTAATTATATATATATATATATATAGATATAGATGTGAGTTGTTATGCAACTCTTTACATTTGTACAATCAATACAATTCAATTTAATCGTCCATTTAATTTAATGAATATGTGATTTCATAAAAGTTCATCAGATTATTTTCTAATATAAAGTATTGATCACAATTAATAAACCATAGTCATCTTCTATAAATATTTAAATCATAATAAATGAACTCACATCATTTCCATGAATGTCTTAATTGATTGGATTGCATTTGTTATACAAATGTGATGAGTTGCATTTGAAACGTCCTCTCTCTCTCTCTATGTGTGTGTGTATATATATATATATATATATATATATATATATA